GTAAGGTCATCTTTAAAGCCATGATTCTAATACTCTACAGTTGCTGAAACCAGAAAAATCAACATTAATAAATTTCTAGTCTAATGTCTGAGTGTAAATATAAGATAGCAAGATCGCTTATGGAGATTATCTGTTTAATCTCCGAATTTCCAAAGCATGAACACAGGCCTAAGCAGAATTCTTACCTTGTCATAACTGTTCACACTTCTATGTCCTAGGAAAGAGTTCTTTTTTTTAACTACCTAAGTACAGAACTGAACAAGTATGCATTTTAAGCTGATAACTACATGTAGTTAACACCATCACATCTAACTGGGTATCAAAGCACGTAGAGAAGTTATTACATTTTGCTGAAAATTGTTTCTGTGTTCTGGTACAGCCTCTGGAGCTATTCTAAGGCTCCCCAGAATAGCACTACCATTTTCCATGGTGGTGTCATACATTTATGCTTGCAGTCGCAAAAACAGTATTCATGGGAGGGTAGCCACATTCTCACCAGAACTCCTACCCAAGGTTGGTGTACCTCCCCTGTCATTTGATTCTGGTGAAAACAATACATTACAGGGACACCAAATTTACCAAGCATTTACACAGTGATCTGATAACACAGTAATTTGGTTGTGAAAATAAATTACTGACACTTAGGCATATTATATGAAAGTAATAAATATATTAATGAGGCATCCTCTGCCTCTTAGTTGTAAAACAAAACATCCACTGCCACATATATTAAGGAGAGAATTTGGCTTAACACAGCAATAGATGAAAATGTGTGATTTAGGGAGATTTATAGATTGTACAAAAGCCTTAGAAATCCTTGGTGGAATGGCAGTGAGAATTTGCAGATTTCTTCCAGGAATAAAGCAGAGCACATGGTTAAGAACCATGAGCTCCACCATCAAGTCACATAAGTTTTCCAAGATTTAGTTTCCTCATCTATGCAATGGAAGTAATATGTGTGTCTTTGCCTTACTGGCTTACATCAGAGATTAAATGAAGAAACACAAGCAAAGAACTTTATATAGTACCAAGTACACACTGAACAGTAAGTACTCTTACTACTACTACTACTACTACTACTATTACTACTATCACCACTACCACTACTACTACTACTAGAACCTTAATTATTAAAGAGAAGTTAAAGGGCCAATTTAAAGTTATCTGTCCCTTAGAAGAGGCATAAGCCAACTACAGCCCACTGGATAAATAAGCCCTTTTATAAGGATGATTTTTGTATTTTTAAATGGATGAAAAAGATTAAAGAATAATATTTTATCATGTAAAAATTAAATGGTAATTCAAATTCTAAGTGTCTATAAAGTTTTACTGGAACATAGCTGTACTCATTCATTTACATATTTTCTGTGGCTGTTTTCAGACTACAATGAATAGCTACAACAGAGCTTATATGGCCCATAAAGTCAAATATATTTTCTAGCTGACTCTTTACAGGAAAAGCTAGCAACCCTGATCTAAAATCTAAAATATATCAGCAATTAAGAAACCAAAAGGTTATGACATGGGTGTTTTGTTTTCTTAAACCATGGTAATTTGACAGATTTTCAGATAGTTTTTCAAAAGTAATTATCTAAACTTAAAAGCATTAAAAACTCTTTCAAGGCAATTCTACCCCATATTCTCATTCTCATATTACATTCCCTTTATCAGAGAAAGTTACAAACAGAATCACTACTATTTTTAAGCTCTAATACCACTATTAGTATGTAATAAGAAGAAGAACGTGTAAAGGTCTCCTTACCAGGAACACATATGTATTCGGATAAGTAAAAAATAAGAGCTGAAAACAATGATAAAGTTAAATGCCAAAAGGAAAAGAAAACGAAGTCACATCCAATGTCACTGGTCCTCCAAGCTAACTCATCATGTCTGAGGAAAAAGAAAGGTTGATGTAAAGGAAGATATTTGGAAGTTACTATAAGATGCAAAATGGAAAAATGCAATTACAAGGCAAGGAAGAAATAAAATTGTGAAAAAAGAACTGACTATGCTTAAACTACATATAAATACATAAAAGGAGGGAATAGAGAAAGAAGATGCAATATAGAAATCTTAAGAAGCAGAAAGTTTGATTACAATATGATGGAAGGAAAACATGAGTTTAAGATATGTCAGTTACTCTCTTCCTCTCCTTCCTTTCCCAAAAGGTCTTTGATTTTCAGAAAACAGGAAAAATGTTTCAAGGTTTCATTAAGTACCTACAAAGAACCTGCTCCAGAGATAAATGATATTTGGAATGTTAAAGGAGCAAAAGAAACAGAAATTTCAGTTAGAGAACTTACATACCTTGACAAGGAAATAAAACCTCAAAAAAAGGTTAAATTACTAAGAAAATGACAAAGTAACATACAAATCAAGTAGATGATAATTCTATTGGCAGAAAGAAAGGAAGGTAACAGAATTCACACTCCAACTTGTAAAGTAGCTTGGAGTTTGAGGGGAGTTTGAAATACCAGGAAGAGAAATTAGAAAAGGAACCAAATACGGATGAGTAAAAATATGGGCAAATAACATTAATGAATTTATGATTTAGCAAGTAAATAAAATCATGAATGTATCCTATCTAGAATTATTGTACTATTTTCTATAATAATCAGTATCAGAGATAATATGCAATTAGTTTGAAGTAGGGAAACTGTCAGAACTGCTAGAGGAAAAAGTCAAAATGGTTAAGACTTTACTACTAGTATACTACTAGGGAGAATAAAATTACTGACAATAAATTTCTGGCTAAAGAAAGAAAAATGAAGCCAGGAGGAAGCTGCCAAAGTAGGAATATAGGCAAAAAATTAAGAGACTACTCTAATTATAATCAAAAATAAAATATGAGTATTCGAGAGGCATGTAAATTAGAGGAATGTATTTCTGTGGTATTTCAATAATGCATTCTCATGATTAGTTGACTGTTGATATATAGACAATTGACTTAATAGGTTAAGTCTAAATATATTTCTACTCGTAAAACACAGAAAAAGAACTCTCCCAACAAATTACCATCATATAAAGACCATGAAGGACTTAGAAATACAAAAATACCTAAAATATCCCTTAAATACTAAGAAAATATCCACACTTAAATTTACATAAGAAGATAATGATGCTTTACAAACACAAAGGCATTATACCACTAAATGACTGGCTGATACCAGAATACAGAATTTACAGTTCAACCAGAGCTGGTTGACTGTTAGTTCAAATAAAATTGGTTGGTATCAGATCAATATTGTGGGACTGGCATGGATTGACAGGGAAATTGTCTCATTATAAGATCAAGTCATTAAATTGAGACTTCAGGTATGAAACTTTTTTCTGGCCTAATTAACAGATTGCAAAAGAAAACAGTTCAGACTTCATTTGTCTCCACATAGTTTTAACTATTTATATGCCTATTTGCAAAAGGTTACTTGACAAAATTTAAGTACTTACTAATATCATCTTCATGATAAATGACAGAGTGAAATGGCAGAGTTCGGTCTTTAATATATCTTTCTGCTGGCTCAACATAGAATGTGCCACCACGAGTCTGGATGAATCCTTCAAATCGTCCATCAAGAACAGATCCATGGCTAAAGCTTCCTTCTTCACCTATTAATGAAAGCCACAAACTTAAAAATTTAATTTGCACATGAATATTAAAAATTCATTCTCCTTTAAAAAGCCATTCTTACATATTTTTAAAAACCTGAATAGAAATTTCTTGGAGAAATTAATTTTCACATAAAATATGTTAAGCTGAAATTGAGGTATAAATAGCAACCTGTACTTAGTTAAAACATATACAATCACTAATACCAACAATGAAAAATAGAGTATCTTGTCTTATTGACAATCATATTCCCAGAGCATAGCCCAGTGCTTGGCATGCATTTGGTAGTCATTCAATAAATGTTATATTAACTTAAACTTAGAAAGAGGAAAGCAGATCCACTGATAAAATATACACTTTCAAAGTAAAGGTATTTAAGAATCTTTTGAATTTTTGCTATAATTATCATAGGAAAGTTCCTTTCCCATCTGATATATTCTGCATGAGTCTGTAAGCTTCATCTTTTATAAATACATTTTTCAAATAACAAAATGTCAAATATTTCAGAACCAATTTGAGTAAAAGTATGCCAACAATCCTTTTTAAAATTCTGGACAGATTTGTTATACTGCCCCATCAATTACACTTCTCCAGTGATAAGGAAAAAGGTCTTTTTGGTTCTTCACAAAGAAAAGCTGAACACCACACATTAAATGATATGAGGAGATGGGAAGTAGGAAAGAGGACTTTAAAGGTTAAATCAACCTGTTAAATTTTTCTTATTAAAGCAAAAATTAGGCATTATGCAATTTCTAAGTTGTAGATTAACATTAATTAGTTAACTTTGAATTAATCATGACTAAAGCAAAGAACACAAAATATTGGTATTGTAAATGATATGATTTTTATCTGCGAACTCATTTAGTCTTGCACTTTTCTTTACCATTGCCTAGCAAAAAAGGGCAGGAACTACTAAGTTATTTGCCCAGAGAGATAAATGATCAAGAAAATAATAGAAAACCAGTCTGACATTTAAAACTTTAGACTGACCAGGAAACACTTTCCTTTGGTTACCAAATTATGAGAGTAAAAAAACTTTTAATTTATTAATGAGGTTTTCTCTCTACGTGTGAAAATTTAAGTACAGAATTGCCTCATATATCTGACAAAATAAAAAAATAAGGCACATTTCTTTAAGCACTTAATTTTTCATGTTATAATTCTGAGTGGAAACCTAATACATAAAAATGAAATTTAACTTTCAGCTAACTACCTTAAGAACTGAGGATCACCCTGAGTATATATTAATGTAACAGAGTTATAACACAATGGTATTTTGCCTCTCACTAATACCTCCAGAAGACTCTTGATTTTTTTAGTTTTTTCATCATTTCTGTAATTGCTCTGTTCTTCCCACACAACTAAGCAATGTTAAGTATGCTCTCCATTTCCCCAGTACCTTTTCAATCTGACATAGTAAGAGAAATTTGTTGGAAGTGTGAAAAAAGTATAGATTTTTGAGGAAGGAAGACCCTGGAGGATTTTTCTGTGAATGAATTTGTCACATTACTTTGGGCTGTTAAGATGATCTTTACAGTTCCCTTTTAGACTTTTTCCTCTTACAAAAACACAGAGAAGTTATTACTAATTTCTTGCTTCTCAGAAGATATGAAGTTATAGAAGTCATTAAAAAAATATTTTTTAATCTAACACTTCAGAGGTACTGAGAGTCAAAAATTTATACTTTTCAGAAGCCAGACCCTGCATTATTCACTGTTAAACATACATGTAAAGTTAGGTCCAAGATTACTTCATTCTTCAAAGACCATTATCCTTCATGATATATTCAAATCTCAGAATTTATCTTACCTTTCTGAAATATTTGCTTATATTTCTATATATGTATTTCCTTGTGCAGAAAAAAAGAAAAGTGTTCTCTTAAGGTTAACTTACCATAAATATGTCCAGTGTAAATATGAGAGGTATCATAATCAAGTACTTTATTTGATGTTTCTACTTTAAATTCATCACTGAAAAGGGATGTGTCCCTCTTCATGCGTAAGTTAAAATGTCTGAAAAACAGAATAGCAGAAGAGGGAAGAAATGAAATTAAAAGGATCCAAATTCTAAGGAATTTTTATAAAAAAGTCTGCAAAATGGGGACTGTTTCACACAATTTGTCTATTTTGGAAATATACTAACCAAGATCTTATAAAAATTGTGCTCCAAATTTCAACCTAGTAGCTGTAATACAAGTCTAAATTATATACAACTAACCAGTAACTGTCTAGGATGTATTAAAATATGAATGCCTATTGGCTGATTCCTACATGATAAAATTAGATCATTCCAAGGGTAACTAAGTTGCTTAGAGATAAACAAGCTTCTTGACCCCAAACTACTATTATTCACCACTGTCTTCCCTCTCTCATCATTTTGAAGCTTTGCCATTTTCTTCTACTTTCACAACTCAAATAAGATATTATAGGGAAGTGGTATCTATATTAGATACTTAACGTCTTTTCTCCTTAACGTCTTTTCTCAGAAAAGCAAGTATTTATGCATGCTTTCTTTTACACACACACACACATACACAGTGCCCTTTCAATTCCTTTATCTTTCCCTGGGGCTTCTAGTTCTCCTAATTATCTCTGGACCTTCCTCAGTTCAATGTGGGAACCAAAAAGACCATGATAATAGCTGAAGTCATACTCATTCTAACTGTCCTCTATAAAGGAGAGGGAAAGATCAGAATATTAAAGTAAAATTAAATAGAGAGTGTAAAGTTTAGAATGAAATTTGAGATCAAATATTAAGCCTAAAATTTACTATCCCAGGATTCCTGTCTGTTGAATGAAGATAATACATTCTACCTTACAGAACTGTTTTAAGGATGATTAAAAGTTATAATGTATGTAAAGTTACTAACACTACCTGGTACACAGGAAATGTATAATAAATGGCAACAAATAAGCTATCATTACTAGCTCTTAAAAGTATATTGTCTCTTTAATAATTGCCATAAAAATCTGCATATAACACAATTTCTAGTCAATGAATCTGAACCCAAGTCTTCAATTGGCAACCCCCAAAAGTTAGCAGGGTATGGAGTAACTAGAACTTTCATATACTGCCAGTGGAAGTACAAAATGGTGCAATCACTTTGGAAAACTGGAACTTTTTTATGAAGTTAAATATACAAAAACACTATGACCCACAATTCTACTCCAAGAGAAATGAGAACATAAAACATATGTCCATACAAACAAATGAACACAAATGTCCACAGATTATTCATAATAGCAAAAATCTACTGGAAACAACCTAAATGTCTATGAACAAATAGATACAAAAAGATTGTTGGTTATTCATTTAATGGCAACCTAAAGATCAAACTACTAAACATGCATTTTTGTGACAGCACAAAAGAATCCACACAGTATAAGTCCATACGTGTGAAATTCTATAACAGGTAAAACCTATCTGTAGTGATAGAAAGCTGAACAGTTGTCTGGAGTGTAGAGAGACTAAAAGCAAAAGAGAATAACCAACTTTTTGCAATGATAGAAAGCTTCTATCTATATTTTGATCAGAATGGTTACACATGTGTATTTGTCAAAACTTACCTCAAACTATACAATCGAAATGAATGTGTTTTATTTTATGTAAATTATGCTTCAATAAAGTTGATTTTAAAGAATAAAAACCAACTCGCTTTTCAAGTGAATAGGGGTCAACAGGGTACACACGCTAGTTGGCTTCAGAAAGTACGCCCCTTTTGAACATAACCTATTTTATCTCCTCCTTCATTTCATGTTAATCTTGGTACACTTTTATTCTGAGACTGTATTCATTTTCTAGTCGCCTAAAACTCTCACCAAAACCTCCAGGGCTTCCCAGGGGCTGTGGCAAGGACTCGAGGCTATGAAAGACATCCCTGCGGTTCCAATCTACTCCAGGAAGTAACTGACAAAGGCAAAAAGCACCTTCTAAATGGGAAGTCCACAACTGGAGTTAAAAAACAGACTATCCTGAACAAACGGAAATCTGCCTGGATTGCTGTTGCACTTCCTGTCTTTTCATAAAATTGCTTTCACCAACTAATAGAGAGGAAATTCTTGATCACATATGCAAGTATAGACATTTTTTTAAAGGACAGTATTTTGAAAAATCATTAATTTATCATTATATAGACTTTTAATTTCCTATATAAATACTATTTCTAAAACAACAACTTTGTTAAGTAGACTAAACACTGAATGTCCAAGGGCTTAATATGTTTATCATTCAAGGTTATTCAGCAAAACTGCTATACCCTGAAACCATTTTAAGTTAGAGCATTAGCATTCTATATGGTTTTAAAAAAATGGGGAAAAGCATCAGAAAGACATTTTAAGTTCAATATAAGAATAGTCTACCCTACATTCCCTACCCCCCAAAAAAATTTTACATCACCTGAAATGTCTAAGCACCTAGCAACCCTAGAGGAATGTTATAACAGAATTTAAAAATACTTCAAGTAGGTCCTTTCCAACCCTGACAGGTATCATAGTAAGAAAATCATCTCACATGTACAAAACATTATTCTCAATGTTGATTTTAATTGAATTAAAACCATATATAAAATCAGTTCTCAATTATGCATTGCAGAGTCAAGTAGCAGTATAGATAATAAAAGAAAAAAACATTTGATTTAAAATGTAGATCATATTTCCAAAACTCATTACTTTTATTAATATCAAAATTAATTTGCATTAAAACCTTATCAACACAAAAGGGAACAGAACGAGGGTGAGCCGGAAAGGCAGGTAAAAGGTAGAAAGAAGCCAGACTGAATTAAAGTCTGTCCCAATCTACAAAATAAAGTACAAATAAGTAATCAGAAGTTGAACAAAATTTAGTCCCTTAAAACTAAGTCACTGGATTCCAGTTCCCTAATTTTAAACCACTATCATCTGTTGGATAGTTCATATACCTTCATGCTATCTAACTATTTCCATACATTACAAATTCTTGCAATATTCCTATTGGATAGCATACTATAAAATAGTAATAAAAATTAGCTGACTAATCACATTCTACTTCCCGTATTTCTCAACAAGCCTTGAATGAAAAAACAATCTGAAAACATAACCTGATTCTTCAGTTGTTTAAACTTCTGGCCCCAGAGGTCAGAAAAATTACAGTAAACACTGCCTTATAAAAATCACTGTATTCTGGGGAAAATGGTGGTTCTTCAAAAAGCTAAACATGAAATTACCATATGATGTGGCAATTCTATCTCTAGATATATACCCAAGGAACTGAAATCAAGGTTTCAAACAGATATCTGTACACCAATAGTCACAGCATCATTACTCACAATAGCAAAAAGAGAAACAACAATGTCCATCAGCAAAGAGATTCAAAACCTACATGAGTGCTAGTGCTATACAGATGTAACAGATTTTTCTGACACACGCTACAACACGGATGAACCTTGCAAACATGCTAAGTGAAGTCAGACACAAACGGACAAATTCCACTTTTTTGAGGTACCTAAAATAAGCAAATTCTTAGAGACAGAAATAATCAAGGTTATCAAGGACTGGGGAATTACTGTTTAATGGGTACACAGAGTTCATTTGGGCTGATGAAAAACGCTCTGGGAATGGACAGTGGTGATAGCTGGAAAACACTGACTAGTTAACACCACTGAATTGTTCACCTTAAAATGGTTAAAATAGTAAGTTATTTTACCACAATAAAAATAAATGTTTAATATCATTGCATTCAAAAAGAAGAAATATAATATAAAATTGTGTAGCCAGAGATACCCTTCTTAAAGCTCTAAGTCCCAAGAGAATTTTGTTTGAGATAGTGGTATTGTGATGATAAAGGTAAGGTAAGCATTCTTCTTAAAATTTACATAGGTTTATGGCTTTCAGAGCATTTTTACATATATTACTACATCTTATCCTCTTAGTAACATGGCAAAGGAGGCATGATGAATATTTTTATCGGAAGGTATGGCTCAAGGTCACAAGCCTACAAAATTAGGGTAAGAACTCCAGTATTTGGTTACTCCACCTTACTCTTTCTACCATATGTATCTCAAGCATGTGATTAAAAAAGTGAAGTGAATACATGCTGAGTGCTGCAGCAGTCTCAATGTAGTATTATCAGTCTGTGCTAAATTTTGTATTAAAATTTTAAGCAAATGCAAATAGGATATAGAAATGAAAATACAACTTTGTTCAATTTTGACTGAAAATCATACTTTACTATACCACCAAAAGAAATTCTCTTTGATTACTAAATGCTTGAGTTACTTTCAAGACTAAGGCTAAACTCTGTCCCTCTTCACTATGTTTCCTTCAGCAAGTTTAGTTCCTTTTATTATTATAATATAGTACACCGTCAGCAAAGATAAACTTTAGATTTCCTTTGAAGAGGAAGATGCTTTGTATAAAGAATATTATTTGCACTTGGACTGTTCTTCTACCCTTAGATTTAACCGCTATATTGATTCTATGGAGCAATAGTATTTTGTCTCTCATCATGATTACAGCAGTTCTATTGTAATTCTTTTTTGGCTTTTTTCCGAGGCACTAGAGTAAAGATATAAAGAATAGAGTAAAATAGCAGAAGGGCAAAATCAGTTAACAAATGACAGCAATTTGAAAAAAACATACCAGTTTTCAATTCTTCAGCCTTGAAGACACAGTTGTACCATGTGGTAGTAATAGCTGGTTTTCCTTTCGTAGGCTTTAGAAAAGCATTTTATATCTGAGTCAAATAACTGAGGCACCAGAACCACTTGTGATGCAGAACAAAAATTAAATTATGTCTAGGATATGATTCTATTTTTCTAGAAAGTCATGTACCTTCTAAAGCTTTATATATAAAGAAGTTATCTTCTAGGCATTGCAACACTTGGAGCAGTAAGAATATAGAGTAAAAAGAAGCTGCCTTTTCCCATACAATTGCTATTTTGGCTAAAGATAACATGGTTCTGAATCCCTTGAACTGAAGACAAAAAGCCTCAACTAATGATGCACCTCAGTACACAGGGAAGAAACCTGACAGCAAA